CTAAGCATACTCCCCACAAGGCTTGTACTTCTCGCTCACCAAACTCTGCAGGCTCTGGAATGAAAGTACTATATTTCACCCTCGGGCACCCACAAAAGGCAGGCCCCCACCAGTGAGAGATTGGACACCCAGAACAGCAACAAAATCTCACCCACCGCTGGCTTTTTTCTTTCCCAAGGCAAACTCCACATGGGGGGTGCAATTTTAAATTCCTAGATTTGGATTTGTGACAATGACATTCATTTCCAGACCTTCATTAGTCACAAGAACAAAAACAGCCACAATAAAAACATACAGGGGAGAGGGCTCAGTCTCTCTGTGCCTCAACGTTTCTATCTGCTGCCTGGCACTGTCGTGAGCACTGGGAAGCTTCCAGAACTCCAGATGGCTGCATTCTATCAGTATTATTATAAACTACACAGTTCATTTCCCAAACTATGAAGACTTTGCCCCCATGGCTAGAATTTCCATACAAGATAACTTTTTCATAACCTTCTGAGTCATAGAATTCCGTGTTTTTTTCTTTTTTCTTTTTGGTACCAGGACACAGACTTCAACTCAGGACACCAAGCTCTGGTGTGGCTTTTTCTGTCCAAGACTGGCATTCTACCACTTGAGCCATGGCTTTACTTCCAGCTTTTTGCTGGTTGATTGGAGATAACAGTGTCGGAGACTTTTCTGCCTGGGTGGGTTGGCTTTGACCCTTGAACTCAGATCTCAGGCTTTTGAGTAGCTTGGATTACAGGTGTGAGCCACAGGCGCTCTGATTCCTAGAGGTGGGGCTGCTTGTTTTCCTTTTGGTCTAAGTGTAAGTGCCAGTTTGCATGGGCAGAGATGGCTGTGCGGTCACGGGAAGGCTGGACGCTGTACAGAGCATTTGTAGAAAGGCTGTGGCTTTCTGGGACGGAAGAAATACAGACCTTGTGTGGGCTAAGGGATGCGTGAAGTCTTGTGTATAATTTCACACGCTAAGCCAGCTCTGGTGGTGCCGTAGCTTAAAGCCAAACAAAGCTTTCGCAAGCCCTTGCTTCCCCAGCCTGACTAAACTTCAAAATTCCTCAGATCACTTTCTCTGCCGTTTCATGTTTAACCTTACCACACACTTTAAAAAAAAGGACTCCTAACTTCCCTAGAGTTTGTTTTCCTTTAAGAAACAGCCAGAAGAAACTTAAAAAAAGAAATCTGAAAGTAGAAGAAAGAAGAAAGGAGGAGGGAGGCCAGGGGAGCGTAGAGGGTGGGGGGGAGAGCACCAGGAAGGGGAGGGGACTTTGGAAAAGTGGGGGGGGGGTTGGTTGGGAGAATGCAAAGTGGAGATGATTATGCATGCATAGAAATGCCACCGTGAAACTCATTAATCTGTACAATTAATATGCATTATTATGATTAAAAAAAAGAAGTAGCACAGTTGGGTTTATTTAAATTTGGAGGTGATGTCTTGTCTAGAAAAGCTCTGTTGGGGTCCCTTCTGTCCGGCACTTGGGACGATTACCAGGCATACTAGTTACTTGGCTGTGCCTGACTGCAATTACTTGGCCAAATCACCTAGATGCCTTTCATGGGAAAAGCTATCACCTGATGGGGTTGTGCTATTTCTTTTCTCAGTTTGAACTTGACATCTATAGTTCAGGAACATCCTCTATCTATAAGTAGGCTCTTATGTGAATAGTCACACAAGACTATTCACAGAGCCGGGTGCTGGTGGCTCATGCCTGTAATCCTAGCTACTTAGGAGGCTGAGATCTGAGGATTGTGATTCAAAACCAGTCTGGGCAGGAGAGTCCGTGAAACTTTTATCTCTAGTAAACCACCAGAAAACTGGAAGTGGCACTGTGGCTCAAGTGGTAGAGTGCTAGCCTTGAACTGAAGAGCTGAGGGACAGTGCCCAGGCTCTGAGTTCAAGCCCCACCACCACCACCAACAACAAAAAAGATTATTCACAGAATGGATCCACTTGATAAAACTGAAGACCTCAACTCTCCAGTCTAATAAAACATCACTACTCAGGGAAGAGCGCACACAGTGGCAGCTACTAGACATTCTGATGGATGAACCAACTTCCCTCTTTCCTTCTTTTCAGTTGACTGATACTAAGCAGTTGGCATGGTTGCTATATCTGTGTGTGTGTGTGTGTGTGTGTGTGTGTGTGTGTGTGTGTGTGTGTGCCAGTACTGGGGCTTGAACTCAAGGCCTTGCACTCTCACTTGCTTTTTCTTCTCAAGGTTGGTGCTCTACCATTTGAGCCACAGCTCCACTTCTAGCTTTTTACTGGTTAATTGGAGATAAAAGTCTCACAAGACTTTCCTGTCTAGCTGACTTTGAACTGCCATCCTCAGACCTCAGCCTTGTGGGTAGCTAGAATTATTGGCTTGAGAAACCACTGTCTGGCTTATATCCAGTTTTTTAAGGCTCTCAACAAAGTCAAGATCATGAGAGGAGCAGGAGGCTGAAAGCTACGTGAGGACAAGCACATGGAGGTGAGGCGGCGTGAGGGAAACCTCTCTGCAGAGAATGACATCTCCAAGAACACCAGGAGGACTAATGGCGAGAGGAAGCTTCAGTCTTTATGGGTGGGGGGATGAAACAAGGCTGGGAGAGGCCTGTAAGAATACAGATAGTTTAGTGGAGGAAACAGATCACACCTATTATTTGAAAGAGCTGCAGGTTGACATAGTGAAGAAACAACAGGTAAGTCCAAGAAGGGATAGTGGGCTGGGAAGGTGGCTTAGTGGTAGAGTGCTTGCCTAGCATGCATGAAGCCCTGGGTTCGATTCCTCAGTACCACATAAACAGAAAAGGCAGAAGTGGTGCTGTGGCTCAAGTTGCAGAGCAAAAGAAGCTCGGGACAGTGCCTAGGCCCAGAATTCAAGCTCCAGGATTGGCAAAAAAGAAAGAAAGGGAGGGAAGGAGACAGAGATGGGATAGCAAATGAAGGTTTTTGTTGGATGGTTTGTTTTTTTGGAGCGCATGGGGAATGAACGCAGGGCCTCCTGCTTGCTCAGCAAGCGCTCTACCATTAGGGCCAGTCCCCCAGTCCTTATGTAGTTAGTTTTTTGGATTGATAGTTTCTTGCCAACTTTTGCTTGGGCAAGGTTTGAACTGTGATCCTCCTATCTCTACCTCCAAAGCAGCTGGGTTTACAGGCGTGCACCACCACACCTGGCTAGGAAAGGAAGGAATTGTTTTTAATGTTAGAACTTTGCAGATGGAAAGCACTAGTGATAGCCGTAGTGGGAGAGTGAATTTGAATATTAGTGCACGAAGAAGCATGGAGACAAGCGTCTAAAGATGATAGAAGACCCAAGAGTTCTGGATTTGGGGGAGTATCTCGAGATTCTCTGTCTTCAGGAAAGTAAAATCAACTCTTTCCCCCCAACTCAAAAATCATTCTGACCTATCTCTGCAGCCAGAGTTGTAGTGAACAGAGGGGTTGAAAGAATGAACTACTGACTGAACGACATTCATGTGATCCTCCTAAAAGATAAGCATTGGAGCCTGAGTGGGGTAGAGGAGGAGATTCGTGTAGACGATCACAAGGCAGGAACCTTTGCATTGAGCAGTAGACCAGAATCTCCAGTCAAAACACTTGGTTGGCTGAATTCCCAATGTACAACTTACGACCTGCAGGTCCTGGGGGCGGAGGGAGTGGGGGCCGGGAAGAGGATCACATCTTTCACCAAACTCAGCCTTAGGATCAATCTTTCCTCCTTAGGGAAGCAAGAACTTCAAATGGCAGCTGACAGCCTTGTTCTCACCCTACAACAGTACTGGCTGCATTCGACTTGAAGATTGTACAGTGCTGTATAACCATAATGGATAATAAAGATAAGAAAAATCCTGCGGGCTCAATAGACTCTTTTTATTTTATTTTATTTTTCTTTATTGTTAGTTGTGGAGCCTGAACTCTGGGCCTGGGCGCTGTTCCTGAGCTCTTCAGCTCAAGGCTAGCACTCTACCATTTGAGCCACAACTTCTGGCTTTTTCTGCTTATGTGGTGCTGAGGAATTGAACCCAGGGCCTCATGCATGCAAGGCAAGCACTCTACCACTGAGCACCTTCCCAGCCCCTTCACTGTGGGAAAATACCCCTCAACCGCCTGAAGAACTAGTACTAAAAGATTCACCACCACAACCACCATTGTTTTTGTACCAGTACTAAGGCTTAAAGAGCCTTATGCTCTTGCTTGGCTTTTTGCTCAAGGCTAGCTACTATTTGAGCCACATCTTCCCCTCCTTCCTTCCTTCCTTTCTTCCTTCCTTCCTTCCTTCTTTCCTTCCTTCCTTCTTTCCTTCCTTCCTTCCTTCCTTCCTTCCTTCCTTCCTTCCTTCCTTCCTTCCTTCCTTCCTTCCTTCCTTTCTTCCTTTTTTCCTTCCTTCCTTTGGTTGTGGGGCTTGAACTCAGGGCCTGGGTACTCTCCTGGCTAGTGCTCTGCTGCTTTGATCCACAGCACCGCTTTTGGTTTTCTGGTGGTTCATTGGAGATAAGGTGCTCATGGACTTTCCTGCCCTGGCTGGCTTTGAACCGCGATCCTTGGATCTCAGCTTTCTAAGTAGCTAGGATGACAGGTGTGAGCCACTGGTACGTGGTTCCCTTTGGTTCTCTTCTAATGCATAACAAGTTGAAAGGGCAGCAATTCACACCACAGAGGGGATTGTGGGAAGCCCTTGGAAGGAAGGCCCCAGATGGACCAGTATGGGTCACCTTTGGTCACATGGCAAGGGCCATCAAAGCCTCCCCTGTGGTGTGGAAGGGCCAGAGCAGAGCTGCCTGGGAAAGAGTTAAGAGCTGGCCAAGCCAGGGCCTACAAGGAACAGGGCCTCTCTGTGTCATGTTGCGGAGATGATGTTTTTCTCTGGCTCACTCATGTTCTGAGACCTTTGACCCAGTTTTGGAGGCACACTGAGCCTGGCCAAGCCGGGCCAGGCGGAGGCGGGGCCGGCCAAGCCAAGAGCCTCTCGGATCTATAAAGCCCAACCCCGAGTGGCTGGGCATCTTTCACAAGGGCTGTGTGGAGCTGCGGGAGCTATCAGCGTTCTCCTCACTCCCGTGGAACCTGTGGAAATGCAGCGCTTGCTCACGCCCGCCAGGCGGGTCCTACAGATGAAGAAAGCCATGCAGGATGCTCCCCTCGCTGCGGCCCGCCTGCTCCCTGCAGCTCACCAGCCGTGAGTCCCCCCCTTCCCCCAGCATAGATCACTTTGTGGGGAGAAAGCAGAAGCAGCAAAGGACAGGCTGGTGAGATCTCACCAGAGGGCTGGGAAGGTGGCTCAGTGGTAGAGCGCTCCCCTAGCATGCATGAAGTCCTGGGTTCGATTCCTCAGTACCACATATACAGAAAAAGGCCAGAAGTGGTGCTGTGGCTCATGTGGTAGAGTGCTAGCCCTGAGCAAAAGAAGCTCAGGGACTTTGCCCAGGACTGGCAAAATCAATCAATCCATCAGTCAATCTCACCAGAATCCTGGTGTCTAGACATAGGGTTTCAGTTACTACATCTCCAGATAAAACAGGTTCTCCCCCCATCCCTTCCTCCCCCGGGCCCCAGAACAGAGTCCCAACCTCTGTCTGCCACCTGCTGCCCGGAATCCACATCCCTCAAGACAGGAAGCCAGGCCTGCAGGCCTCTGCTCCACTGTCCCCTCTAACCTGGGCCAGGACCCTTAATACCTGCAATTGCAGCCAGAGGCAGATTGTAGTCACTGGAGAAAGACCCAAAAGGAAAAACAAAATGTTTTATTTTGGTACCTGTACTAGAGCTTGAACTTGGGACCTGGGAACTGTCCCTTAGCTGGTGTTCTACCACTTGAGGCACACCTCTATTTCTGGCTTTTTACTGGTTTATGGGAGATAAGAGTCTTATGGACATTTCTGCCTGGGCTGGTTTTGAACCTTGATCCTCAGATCCTACTGTTCTGAGTAGTTAGGATTACAGGCGTGAGCCACGAGTGCCCAGGCCAGAACCGTATCTTTGGATTTAATTTTCTGAAGAGGTGAAACGCAAAGACAATGTGTATGTGTGGGTTTACTCGTGTGTGTGCATGTGCTTGTGTAAGTTGAATACACACACTTCTTTTCTGTGTAAACATCCAGCTGTTCAATCTAAGCCTGGCCGTCGCCAGGGATGATGAGACACAGCTGTAGTTAGCCTCATATGCCTGTGTGTGTGTGTGTGTGTGTGTGAGCGTGCGCACGCATGCATGGACGTGTGCTCTGTCCCTAAGCTTTTTCACTCCAGGCTGAAGCTCTTCCTTTGGAACAACACTTCCAGTTTCTTTGTAGTTAATTGGTGATAAGAGTGTCACAGACTGCTGCCTGGGCTGGCCTCAGATCTCAGCCTCCTGAGGAGCTAGGATGACAGGCCACAGTGCCCAGCCTTTTTGATTATCGTGTCTGTAAACCATCCACAGCACCACTAATGTCTTTTCTTTCCACCTGTATTTTGTGTTCCATGAGTTCTGAATACTTAGGGAAATGTCCTGCCTCCTGTCTTCTGGGTGTGTAGGACTGGTGTAGGGGGAATGGCCTCTAATCTCCTCATCTTCTTTATCTCCACCATCATCTACTCCTCATCCCCCCACTCAATCCCAAACTCAGACCTGAACTTGGTCCTGGGTTTGAGTATGTGGTGAGGACGTGGCTTCCTTTGTATCAGTAAACCACCTGTTGGCCACCAGCCAAGAATGCAACCTCAACCCTCACCAGCTCCTGACTTCTTTGGTCCAAACTCCTGGACACATCATTCCCAAGGCCCTCTGGTGCCCCCACTGCTGGCCTTGTTAACTGATGTGGGGAGCCATCTTTGTGGGTCACCCCTCTCTTCCCGTCTCTCCCCTCTAATCCCAGCTGCATGGGCTTCAAGCTGAGAATTCAGCCTCTGCCATGAGGCCTTTCTTGGCCTCCCACCCACAGACCTCTCTGCCTCCTTGGAACTTCTATGGAATTCGGCCCTTCATGGTTTTCTGGTCCCCATCTGCCTCCTCCCTCCCAGCTGGGCTGTTGTATTCATCTCCTTGCTCAGCCTCAAGAACCTGTGCTCTTCTCCAGACAACCCCTGGGTATCTTCCCCAGCACAATGCAGCATGCACTTAACACAGACCACGTGCTTAACATGCATAGTGCTTGTAACATGTACTGTGTAATGTGCATTTAAGCAAATGGAAAGTAGCTGCCATTAGTGCCAGGGAGCACAGAGAAAGAGGCAAGATGGCCAGGACACTCCTAACTAGGTGCTCCGAAGTTTCTAGAAGCCTCTACCTGTCACCTGTCTTCAAGGCTCTGAAATCTACGTCCAGAAATCATCTTCCCCAGACGAAGACAAAGATGACCAAGTGATGGAGTCTTGGCCCGTCCCGTTGACCCTTACATGTCCATCTGTGGACACCGGAGGGAGTCAGCCCGGGGTGCAGAGTGAGAACAATGCTGGCCGCTCCCCCCACCCCTGGCTAACCATTAGCTCCCAGATACTGGGGAGTCCTCCATAAATATTTGCCGGTACAAACTCCAGTTATATGGAGGACACCAAATAAAGAGGGCACATGCAAACGCTCCAAACCTTTCTCGTCAGAAAATGACAAGCACGATCACTGAGCTACTGAAACTCCACGGAGTTTACGGTGATCCCGGGCAAAGCAAGAACGAAGCCGGAGGTTTTACCACAGCTGCTGCAAGGAGAAGCGGCTGGTCGGGGTCCCCCTTTCCCTGGGACGCGGGGACAGACGTCTTGTTAGAAGCACTATCTTTGTCACAGCATTGTTACCCATAAGCCTACCGTAGCTGAGGTGGGTTCACTGGCCGCCATGGGCGCAGTGCTGTGTGTGGGAGCAAGCATGCCCAGCGTGGGTTTCTGTTGGTATCTGACAATTGCACAGGACTGAGCTGTATCTGTGAGCTCACACACAGTATACGTGTGAACTGGAAGGCTTCGTGAGACCTCTGGTGGCCAATTTGCTCAGGGCAGCCTGCTTAGTCCCTGCCTCGGCCTCAGTTGGGGTGAGGCGGACCTCTCACCAGATCTTGGGGGCCTGGGAAGGCTGGGTTTGGGTCAGCCTTCTCAGGCACGACCACTTCTCTGTCTCTCAAAGCTGAAGCTAGGTAGCTGTGGTGCCCTGGTGGCTTACTTCATCACAAAGATAGCAGGAAAGGAAGACGAAGGAACAAAGAATATCACAAAAGAAGCCACTCTATCACTAATTTCAATAATCAACAAACGAAATTCTCTACCTATAAACACCTGTATTGTTGCTTGTTAAGTTTTTTTGGCCTTTATTTCCTATTTTTTTCCTCAGTAGTGGGGCTTGAACTCAGGGCCTATTGATTTTCCTTATCTCTTTTTTTTTTCTTTTTAAATCAATGCTGGCACTTTACCACTTGAGCCAACGCTCTCCTTGCAGCTTTTTGGTGTTTAATTGGAGATAAGAGTTTCTTGGATTTGTCTGCCCAACCTAGCTTCTAACCAGGATCTTCAAATCTCAGCCTTTAGAGTAGCTAGGATTATTGGCATGAGCCACCAGTGCCCAGCTAACAACAACATCAACTTCCTTCTCCTCCTCCTCCTCCTCTTCCTCCTTCTTTTCCTCCTTCTCTTTCTTCTAATGTTTCTAAGAGATGAGGTACATGTTAACTATAAGATTCAGCAGTTGAAAGTATAAAAGGACAATATTACTAAGCAAACAAAAAGCCAGAATGTTACTGGAGCTACACTGACACGAGGAAAAGTAATCTTTATGATGAGAACATAAAAATAAGACAGCCAATTCAACAGATGTAACCATGCTAAAGTTTTACTATTTTGATAACTCAGTTTTATGATATATTGAATCACAATTTGAATGACTATAGACCATATAGTGGAGTTACGATTGTTCTTTATTTTTAAATAATTTTTTTTTGGTCAGTCGTGGGGCTTGAACTCTGGGCCTGGGCGCTGTCCCTCAGCTCTTCAGCTCAAGGCGAGCGCTCTACCACTTGAGCCACGGCGCCACTTCCGGTTTTCTAGTGGTTGATTGGAGATAAGAGTCTCATGGACTTTCCTGCCCGGGCTGGCTTTGAACCTTGACCTCAGGTCTCAGCCTCCTGAGTAGCTGGGATGACAGGCGTGCGCCCCTGGCGCCCGGCTTTATGATCGTTAAGTGGCTGTGGGAGAGGGTTTCAATTCCACTCGTCAGGGTGATTTTTTTCCTGTCCCCATAGGTTCTCCACTGTGGCTGCTGCCCCTGTAGCCAAAACAGATGCGTGGCCGAAAGACGTGGGCATCCTGGCCATGGAAGTCTACTTCCCGGCCCAGTACGTGGACCAGACGGACCTGGAGAAGTTCAACAAAGTGGAAGCCGGGAAGTACACGGTGGGGCTGGGCCAGACCCGCATGGGCTTCTGTTCGGTGCAGGAAGATATCAACTCACTGTGCCTGACGGTGGTGCAGCGGCTGATGGAGCGCACGCAGCTGCCCTGGGACGCCGTGGGCCGCCTGGAGGTGGGCACCGAGACCATCATCGACAAGTCCAAGGCCGTCAAGACGGTGCTCATGGAGCTCTTCCAGGACTCGGGCAACACTGACATCGAGGGCATCGACACCACCAACGCCTGCTACGGGGGCACCGCCTCCCTCTTCAACGCTGCCAACTGGATGGAGTCCAGCTACTGGGATGGTGCGCACTGCCGGGCAGGACAGGGGCAGGGCCAGGGCTGGGGCTGAGTCCTATCAGGTTGTCTTTCTGTTTTGCCAGTCCTGGGTCTTGAACTCAGGGCCTGGGCACTGTCCCTGAGTTTCTTTTGCTCAAAGGTAGCATTCTACCACTTGAGCCACGGTCCCACTTCTGGCTTTTTCTGTGTATGTGGTACTGAGGAATCGAACCCAGGGCTTCATGCATGCTAGGTGAGCACTCTACCACTAAGCCACCTTCCCAGCCATCAGGTTTTCTTCTTGCTTATCCAGATGGATGTAACCTAGTAGGGAAAGGATCATGTCTCCCCACGGCTTCTGTTTATCCAGCACCCAGTGTCAGGAGCCGTGGAGATTTGCACAGAATGTTCCCCGTTGTCCCCGGCTCCCAGGAGGATGGCAGCCTCACATCTGATTGCACATAAGAAACTGCAGCCTCAGATAGCAAGCCGGGGTGGGTGGCTTATGCCTGTAACCCTAGCTACTCAGGAGGCTGAGATCTGAGGATTGTGGCTCCAGGCTTGGCCAGAAAAGTCTGTGAAACTCTTTTTATCCAAATACAAAAATTAAAAATGCTAGAAGTAGAGCTGTGGTTCAGGTGGTAGAGCCTTAAGAGAAAAAAAGCCAAGGGACAGGGAATGGGCCCTGAGTTCAATCCCCAGGATCGGCATATGCATGCACACCACACACACACACACACACACACACACATACACACACACACACACACACACACACACACAGAGTGGAGCAAATATGAGTCAAAGGCTCAATTATTTATTGAATAATAGCACACCATAGTTAGCTACTATGAACCGTTTCCAGTAAATGTGGTTACCTGACACAGTCTCTTCTCACAATGAAAGTAGCATCAGCAATTCAAGGCTGGTAGTTTAGGATCTAGTCAGAACTAGACTTGAATTTCAAAGCTCATATTCACCAGGTATAATGACCTTAGAGAAGTTAATCTCTCTGGTAGACAGTGTCCTCATTCGTCATTATAGACAATAACTATCTTATTGAACATTTTAAAAAGGGGTTGTGTGTGATTAGCTAGCATCCAGATGATATTTTATGTCATTGTATTGGGGCTGGAGCTCAGGGCCTTGTGTTCTCCCTTAGTCTTTATTATTGTTTTTTTTTCCTGGTCCTGTGAGCTGTCTCTGAGCTTATTTTTGCTCAAGGTTCATGCTCTACCACTTGAGCCAGAATTCCACTTTTAACTTTTGGGAGGTTGCTTACTAGCGATAAGAGTCTCACAGACTTTCCTGCCCAAACTGGTTTCAAACTATAATTCTCAGATCTCAGCCTCGGGAGTAGCTAGGATTCTAGGCATGACCCAGAGTGTCTAGCTTGTTCACTCAAGGCTGGGGACTGCACCGCTTGATCCATATCTCTACTTCTGGTGTGTGTGTGTTTAATTGGAGATAAGAGTCTCAGGGACTTTCTTGCCTGGGCTGCCTTTGAATCCCAATCTCAGTTCCCAGAGTAGCTACAATTAGAGACAGTAATCACCAGCACCTGACTTTTTTTTTTTTTTCTTTTTTCTTTTGTTTATTGAACTAGGAACCAGAATTACTTCTTCGTTCAGAATTGTGGAGGTGCACACTTATAACCCCAGCAGTTGGGAGGCTGAGGCAGGATCTCAGCTGAGCTTGGGTCTCAGGCTAGCCTGGGCTACATCTTAGAAACACCAAGGAAAGAGTTGACAGTAGAGGAGGAAGGGAACTGTGAGCAGGCTCTCCCTGAGCAGCTGTGGTGTGTGACGGTCGGTCCCGATCGGGGCTGGTGGCTGTCTGCCCCCGGGACAGGACACCTTATGTTGTGTTCTCAGGGCGCTACGCACTGGTGGTGTGCGGAGACATCGCGGTCTACCCCAGCGGCAACGCGCGGCCCACGGGTGGGGCAGGGGCGGTGGCCATGCTGATCGGGCCCCAGGCGCCTCTGGCCTTGGAGAGAGGTAGGTGGTAATCTCTTCCTGAGGGGCTGCACAATTCCAGCTAATCCCACCTGGGCAAGGACTGTGTCCTGTTGTGCAAAAGTGTGGCGGTGAGGAGAGGATGGAGATGCACAGGGGAGGCTGGAGGGGGAGAGAACGCATTCGCAGGGGGCCTCAGAATTCCCGCGTCTGCTTCCTGGTTCGCTAGATCCATGACGGTGTGCAGAAGGAGGATTTGCACAATCTGTCTGCCTGTGGCAGAACGAGAGGCAGGGAAGCAGGAAAGGAAGGAGAAAAACGGAGGAGGCTGTCCCCGAGGACCCCCCTCCCCGTCCACTGCAGGCCCGGACCCTTTGCTTCCTTTCCAGGGCTGAGGGGAACCCACATGGAGAACGCATATGACTTCTACAAGCCGAATTTGAACTCGGAGTACCCGCTGGTGGACGGGAAGCTGTCCATCCAGTGCTACCTGCGGGCCCTGGACAGATGCTATGCGTCCTACCGCAAAAAAATCCAGAGTCAGTGGAAACAAGGTATGGGCTCAGAGCGCAGAAAGGGGGTTTTGGCAAAGCCAAGACTTTCTGTTTCTTCTATGGCGAGGATGTGTACTCAGTGGCTCAGGAGGCTGAGATCTGAGTATCAAAGTCCAAAGCTAGCACAGAAAAGTGTGTGAAAGTCATATCTCCAGGGAAGCAGCAAAAAGTCTCAAGTGGTAGAGCACCAGGATCTCTCTCTCTCTCTCTCTCTTTGTCTCTGTCTCTCTCTCTCTCTCTGTCTGTCTGTCTCTGTCTCTGTCTCTCTGTCTCTGTCTCTGTCTCTGTCTCTCTCTCTCTCACACACATACACACACGAGGGTCCAGCTCTGTAGGCCAGGGGCCCCAGGGCACAGTTAAAGTGAGGTGAGGTGGGCTGTAGCATCCGCACGCAGCAGCATCTGGTCTTTCCCCTTCCCTTCCCAGCGGGCATCGAGCGACCTTTTACCCTGGACGACATTCAGTACATGATCTTTCACACCCCTTTCTGCAAGATGGTGCAGAAGTCGCTGGGCCGACTGATGTTCAGTGACTTCCTGTCATCCAGCAAGGACACGCAGGCCAGCCTGTACAAGGGGCTGGAGGCCTTCAGGTGCGCCCGCCGTGTGGGGAGGCTGGAGGCCTGGGAGGGACGACAGAGGGGACTTCAAGTTTTTTCATTCCTTGAGTCTGGACTTTATACTCCAGTGGGGAGGAGCAGGTTGGTGATCCTCCAACATAAGAAAGAGAAAGGAGCCAGGCGCTGGTGGCTCATGCCTGTCATCCTGGCTACTTACGAGGCTGAGATCTGAGGATTGAGGTTCAAAGCCAACCCCAGGCAGAAAGGTCCCTGAGACTCTTATCTCCAATGAGCCACCAGAAAACCAGAAGTGGTGCTGTGGCTCACGTGGTAGAGCACTCACCTTGAGCTGAAGAGCTCAGGGACAGCGCCCAGGCCCAGAGTTCAAGCCCCATGACCAACAAATAACAACAACAACAAAAAGAGAAAGGACATCAGCCTTTAGGAGGGTTCAGGTGGTCACATCTGCCTGGCCGTGGAGATGACATCTCAGGGAGCATGGGAATTTACCTCTACCTCCAGACCAATGACTCAAAGAAACCACAAGGCTGGGCGCTGGTGGCTCACGTCTGTCATTTTAGCTCCCCAGAAGGCTGAGTTCTGATCACTGTGGCTTGAACCCAGTGAGAGAAGCCAAGTTTGTGAGACAATGATCTCCAAATTCCACCACAGAAAGCTGGAGTAGAAGTGTGTGTGGCTCAAGTCTTGAGTGGAAAAGCCAAGCAAGGGCACAAGTTCCTGCGTTCAAACCGTAGTCCTGGCACACATACACACACACTCACACCCACAATAATAGTGATAATAATAATGATAATATAGAAAATGATTTAACATTCTGGAGAACCTATATATATATATATATATATATATATATATATATAATATGTATGTATATTCTGAGTAAAGGAAGCACACTAAACAGAATGCATAGTATAGTTTTATTTCTAATTTTTGTGTGGGTATGTGTGTGCCAGGACTGAGGCTTGAACTCAGGGCCTAGGTGCTATCCATTAGCTTTTTCAATCATTTTCTGAGACCCTCAGATCTTTTTGACCAGGTCCTCAGGTCTTAGCCTCCGGAACAGCTAGGTGTGAGCCTCTGGTGCCTGTCTATTTCTAATTTTCTATTAGACTATCAAAGGATGCTTTCCATAGGATCTCTCAATGGCCAGCCTATGAGCTGCATGTCGTTCTTTGAGGTTTTCTTATGTTTCAGAGTATGATCGTAAATGACATGGGCCGAGCCCTGTGTCTGGGAACTGCTCCTTTCTCCATCACGTCTCTTCTCTCTCCCTTACCTGCCGTCTCTCCCTGGTGCCTCACAGGGAGCTAAAGCTGGAAGAGACCTATACCAACAAAGAAGTGGATAAAGCGCTTCTGAAGGCGTCCCTGGACATGTTCAACAAGAAAACCAAGGCCTCCCTCTACCTCTCCACTCACAATGGAAACATGTACACCTCCTCCCTGTATGGGTGCCTGGCTTCGCTCCTGTCCCAGTGAGTTCTCAGCCAGGGCTGCTCCGTCCCTTCCACTGTCCAGGGAGGGAGGTGGAGGGGGGAGACAGGAAGAAGGAAGGAATATTTCAAAGGAGCACGTTCAGGCCAATTCCTGTATTATAAATGACCGCCTCGAGTGTCAGGGGATGTGCTAAATCTACTCAGGTTCGATCAGGTAATGGGAGAACTAGTGTGTGTATTTATTTTAACTTTTTGCTAGTCATGGGGCTTGAACTCAGGGCCTGGGCATTGTCCCTGAGCTTCTTTTCCTCAAGGCTAGTGCTCTCCCACGTGAGCCACAGCGCCACTTCTGGCTTTTTCTGTGTGTGTGGCATTGAGGAATGAAACTCAGGGTTTCATGCATGCGAGGCAAGCACTCTACCACTGAGCCACTTTCCCAGCCCATAGTGTGTACGTCTATTTAAAATCTCTATACTTAGTAGAACACAGCAGCTAAAAGAGTGGAGCTTTAAACCCTACAGCCTAGGCTCAAATCTATTTAGTATTTATTAGCTCTGTGTGTGTGTGTGTGTGTGTGTGTGTGTGTGTGTGTGTGTGTGTGTGTGTGTGTGTGTGCTGGCTTTGGGGTTTGTATTCAGGGTTTCTCACTCTTGTTTAGCTTTTTCACTCAAGCCTGGTACACTTGAGTCACACCTCTCCACCTGGCTTTTGCTGCTTAGTTGGAGAGAAGAGTCTTCAGATTTGTTGGCTGGGGCTGTCTTTGAACCTTAATCCTCAGATCTCAGCCTCCTGCAGATAAATAGGCTGGGCGCCAGTAGCTCACATCTCTGAGCCTATTAGTTTTGACTCTGAAAAAAATAAATTACCTAACCCAGGCTAGGTGCAATGGCTGTGCCTCTAATCCCAGTTGCTTGGGGGGGTGGAGATTAGGAGAATCCAGGTTTAACGTCAGCCCCGAGTTAGTTAAAAAGTTACCTAAATCAGGGAAAAGTGATTGTGACTATATCTCAAAGAACAAGCCATGATGGTTCATACCTGTAAGCTCACCTGTGCAGGACTAGCAGAGGTAGGAGGACAGAAGTTCTTGTCCAGCTGAGCAAAATATGGAGACCCTACACTAGTCCCTGGCCCTTTGAGCTCTATTTTTTCAGTAAGCCAAAGGCCCGAGTTAAAACCCCAAACAAATCCCCAAGCTGTGTGCACAGTGCTCCTCCCCCTCCAGCTTCGAAGACAGTGTCTAGGACAAGCTGGTGGTGGCTGCCTCTTCCCTGGTTTTGAATTTGAGGAGCTCATCAAGCTATGTGCCACACGGGAACAGTTACTTCCTGGTGAACTGGCCAGACATGATTAAGAAGCCATCCTTAGCCAGGTGCCGGTGGCTCACACTATCATCCCTGCTGCTCAGGTTGCGGGAGAACTGAGGATCACGGTTTGCAGCGAGCCTTGAGACTCTTATCTCCAACGAACCACCAAGAAGCGGGAAGTAGAAGTGTGGCTAACATGGTAGAGCGCTAGCCTGGAGTGAAAAAGCCCAGGGACAGCGCCCAGGCCCTGAGTTCAAGCCCCAGGCCTGGCGTATACACATACACAGACACAGACACAGACACAGACACACACACACACACATCATCATCATCATCTTAGTCAGTGGAGAGCCCTGAGGGATACTGAGTCCAGAGGTCTGACCTCAGCTGACCACACCTTAGCAACTTCCCCTCATCCTAGGAAGTGGGGAGGGGCTCCCTTTGCAGCCCCAAATTCTGTTGCTTGTGTTGCCTTTTATGTTCTGGCCTAGGCCCCTTCCCTCTTGGGCTGCCCTGAGAAACACAGTTGCACTACGTAGTAGCTCAACCTAACCTTTAACTTCTGATCCTTGCCAAGTGCTGGGATTACAGGCATGCACCACTGGGTCTGGCCTGCCTGTCTCCTCTTCACAAGGTTTCCTGCTCCTGGGCTCTTCCAAACGCCTCTCTGGGCAGCATGCTTAGAATGTATGTCTGCTCGCATGAGCTGGATGGGATCAAGTGCTGACTTGCAACGCAGACTGTAACAATGCATGCTTGGTTTCCATATCTTTTCCCCCAGCCACTCTGCCCAGGAGCTGGCGGGCTCCAGGATCGGCGCCTTCTCCTACGGCTCTGGTCTGGCAGCAAGTCTGTTTTCATTTCGAGTGTCTCAGGATGCTTCTCCAGGTGAGGGATCTTTTCAAATCAAAGAGGCGTCTACAGCCAGGCTTGGGGTCTCGCGCCTATAACCCCAGTGACTCAGGAGGCTGAGATATGAGGATCGTGGTTCAAAGCCAGTCAGGGCAGGAAAGTCTGTGAGACTCAACTCCAGTGAACCACCCGAAAGCCAGAGGTGGAGCTGTGGTGCAGGTGGTAGAGTGCTAGCCTTGAGCACTGAATCTCGGAGACAGTGCGCAGGCCCTGAGTTCAAGTCCCAGGACTGGTGTACACATAAAGCAGTGAATGGTCTTCTGGTGGCCTTGGCTCATATCTGCATGGGCTTGTCCTTTCTTGATATTCCAAGCCACACCAGGGGGAGCTACTGGGGTCTTGGCTGCCTGGCATGGGGGACAAGGACACCAAGGAGTCTGACATCTCCCTCCACTCCCCAGGGTCCCCGCTGGACAAGCTGATGTCCAGTGTTGCAGATCTGCCCAAACGCCTGGACGCCCGGAAGCGCATGTCTCCGGAGGAATTCACAGAAATCATGAACCAGAGGGAGCAATTCTATCACAAGGGTAGGGGAGAGGGCAGGGAGGGGAGAAGGCCAGGGGAGGGGACAGGAGGGGAGAAGGTCAGGAGAGGAGGGAAGGTCAGGAGAGGGGGCAGGAGGGATTGGAAGGGAATTCTTTCTAGCAGCTGGGAGCAGGGACTCATGTCACCTTGGACTCAGCCTGTGAGGAGAGGTGACTGTCGATGAACGGAGGGAGAGATGTGTTTGAGCAGAAGCAGAGCTGGGAAGGGGCAGTGGGAAGCAGCTCCCACTCCATGCTGGGACTCCAGTGGCTCACATCTTAATCCTAATCAGGAGGCTGAGATCCGAGGATAATGGTTCAAAGCCAGTTCTGGCAGGAAACTCTGTGAGACTCATCTCCAGGAAACCACACAGAAAACCCGAAGTGGCACTGTGGCTTAAGCTCTCCTTGAGCTGAAGAGCTGAGGGACAGTGCCCAGGCCCAGAATTCAAGCCACAAGACCAAAAAAAAAAAAAAAAAGAAGCTAAAGACAGCCGAATTTGTGACATTCTTGTCTCCAATTAACCTCCCCCAAAAGCTGGAGCTGGAGGCATGGCTTCAAGAGGTAGAAGTCTTTGCTATGAATGAGAAAGCCTTGTGAGAGCCTGAGGATCTGAGTTCAAGCTCTAGGACCAGCACAGAAAGAATAAAACCTAAGAAAAAGAAAATGCCGCCAGAAATCGGCCAGATCTAGGCCTGAGAGGAGCTGGTGCCCATGGTGCATGCCTGTAATCCTAGCTACTTAGGAGGCTGAGCTTTGAGGACTGGGGTTTTACACCAGGCCAGACAGATATATCCAAGAGACTTGTTTCTGCTTAACCAGTAAAAAGCAGGAAATGGAGCTGTGGCTCAAGTGGTAGAGGGCCAAAAAGCCAAGCAAGATCATCAAGACTTGTGTTCAAGCCCCAGTAGCAGCAGCAGCAGCAGCAGCAGCAACACCACCACCACACACACACACACACAAATACAAGCAACAACAACAACACACACACACACACACACACACACACAAATACAATTCTGGTGACTCAAAGTACCAGAGCCAGGATGGCTTTGTTTCTAGTTCTTGTGCCTCTGATGTCTTGTGATCTTGCAGGCCCTGACAGCCATAGCAGACTTCCTGTTGTTCTCTTCCCCAAGCCTGGGTGGCCCTGGGTGACTGCTGTCCCTCTCTTCCTCATTCCACAGTGAACTTCTCACCCCCTGGTGATGTCAGCAGCCTCTTCCCAGGCACGTGGTACCTGGAGCGGGTGGATGAGATGCACCGTCGGAAGTACGCCCGGCGACCTATGTGAAGCTGGTGAGTACGGGCGGCTGAACGCCTTCCCGGGCACCTGACTCCACTTGAGCCAGGTGGGACCCATAGCCTTCAAAATAACGGAAGAGGGCGCCAGTGGCTCACACCTGTAATCCTGAAATAGGAGGATTGCAGTTCAAAGCCGGCCTGGGTAGGAAAGCCCGAAGGCTCTTATCTTCGATTAACCAACAAAAAGCCGGAAGTGGAGCTGTGGCTCAAGTGGCAAAGTGCCCGTCTTGAGCATAAAAAGCAAAGGGACAGCGCCCAATCCCTGAGTTCAATCCATAGGCCTACCCTCCTCTCCAAAAAAAGGGAAGAGAATTGCAGCGATAGGAGGCGCTCAGAGCTCCAAAGCGATGAGACCGAGGATGTGAATTCTGATAGACAATCAGCTTCAGAAAAGCATATGCGGATGTGTGCATGCGTGTGAGATTTTCAAGGAAGCAAAGGGTTGTGGCGTCCATTTGAGCCAGAAGCCCCTCACTGGAGCGAGGCTTGCGATTGGGAGCTGGGTGACAATTCTCATGTGACAAGATTCTTCCTCATAAAAGCTGTGTGCCATAATGGTGATGAATGAAGAGAGACATTAGTGGAAGAGGTTTAGGGTGGGAGGGGAAATGGCGGGAATCTTTTCTGGGGTGTCAGTACTGGGGCTTGAACTCAGGGCCTTGTGCTACTGCCTGGCCTTTTCATTCAAGGCTGGTGCTCTACCACTCAAGCCACATTTCCATTTTTAGCCTTTTGCTGGTTGATGGGAGACAAGTCTCATAGGCTTTCCTGCTTGGGTTGGCATAAAATCATGTTCCTCAGATCTCACACACCCGAGTAGCTAGGATTTCGGGTGTGAGCCCGACATCCATCTGGAAGAATTCTTTGTGGGATTTCCTTCATGAAAAAAAAATCAACTATTCAGAACTGCAGACATGTAGTTCCTGTCTAGCACATTGCTTTTGTGTATCCACTAACAGCTCAGCAACTGCCTCAGTTAGTCTGGGACCAGAGCTTTCTTACTTGGCATCCCCCACGAGTGGCCCCCCCGCACTGAGATGCTGGCCATGCCTGCGGGGGAGGGGGAAGGAAGGAGAGAGGTCGTGGAGTCCATGCACCCTCTCAAAGGATCCCATGAGCCTCTGTGCTGTTCCAGACAGGACGCATGATGGGGCTGCAACCCATCCACACCAGGCCTTGTTTCTCCCAGTACCCGGTGGCCCCACATCTAGGTACCGTCAGGGAGATTGATTCACAGAACCACTGGGAGGAGCAGGGGCTGGGGTCCGGGGACCAGGCTGAGATTCACAAGGAAATCTTCATCTCTCTTAACTTTCCACAGATGCTGGCGCAGGTCCTGGGGGAAGTAGGATAGCTGAGCTCTGTCCACAGTCCACGTGCTGAAAATCCCACCCTTACCTGGTAACTGCACCAATCACACCTGCAGTGGCCCAGGCTCCGTCACAATAGCTGTGGGTTGGGGACTCCCTTGCAAGGGAACAGAGACACAAGGCCTGCACAGACGCAGATAAGCGGTCTCCCTCGAGCTCCAGCTATACCTGATGATTTGTTACTGCTTGTTATTTTTATTAAACTTCATGCCGTTCTTTTTTTGCTGATTTCTTAACATTTCTTGTGAACTTCGTGTGTGTGTGTGCATGTGTTGGCATGGGGACTTGAACTCAGGGCCTTGCACTCTTGCTTAGCCTTTTCACTCAAGGCCGATACTCTACCACTTGATCCATACCTCCACATCTAGCCTTTTGCTGGTTAAAAACTGGATGGACTTTGCTGCTCTAGCTGGCTCTGATAGGCGTAAACCACACCAGCACCTGGCCCAACCCCTTTCTTCTTTGGGTTACCTGGTACAGAATCTAACTTTGCCCACGTTAGTCCCCTCTAGTTGTCAGGATTTAGGCGTCTATCACAGGCCCAGCTTGAGCTCCATTTTTAGGTGAATGTTGAACTTCACCCACCTTGGCCGTCTCCCCAGCTATCAGCGCGTTCAGGTGATCTCAGCAGATGCCACGTGAGGCACAGCTGCGTCTTCAACTGGAGGAAATGGGTCATTTGTTGTCAGGACACCCAGCACCCAGACCTGGCTGGCAGCCAGGGGGAGGGGAGCGCGGATCGTCCACTGAGAGCCCGCGACTGGAGAAAACACAAGGTCACCGTGCGCCCTGGGCATGTCCCACGTATCACTTAGCTTTTTTTTTTTTGGCCAGTCCTGGGGCTTGAACTCAGGGTCTGGGCACTGTCCCTGAGCTTCTTTTGCTTAAGTCTAGCACTCGTGGAGTCACTGCACCACTTCCGGCTTTTTCTGTGCATGTGCTTCTGAGGAATTGAACTCAGGGCTTCATGCATGCTAGGCAAGCACTCTACCACTAAGTCACAGTCCCAACTTTTTTTTAGTGCCAGTCCTGGGGTTTGAACTCAGGGCCTGGCACTATCTCTGAGCTTTTGTGCTCAAGGCTGGCACTCTACCACTTAAGCCACAGCTGTACTTTTGGCATTTTGCTGGTTAACTAGAGATGAAGAGTCTTATGGACTTTCCTGCCCAGGCCTGACTTTGAATCATAAATCCTCAGATCTCAGCCTCCCAAGTAGCTGGGATTACAGCTCATGGCTATACATTCCTTTGGAATCCACTCGGCCCTTACGCCGGTCTGGGAAGCCTGTGTATGTCCCCACAGCTGTGTAGAATTTGGGAGAATTACTTGTTAGTGATTATGCAGCTGCCCAGAGCCAGTCATGCAGGCTCGTCCCTTTGAGGTCTGCAATGGCTGGGCCACAGCATACACCAAGGCCACTGTGGATGCTGGGAAGCTGATGTGGAATTCTGTCCTTGGAGGAGGCCCTAGTGCTGGTCAGTGGCTGTCTGGTGCGTTCTGTAAAAGTGAGGCCTGGATCCTAATAGGAGACATCAAGAGGCCCATGCTTTTGAATGAAGGAAGGTCATAAAATCATAAGATCATTTTTTCACAGTCACATATAGCTAGGTGCCAGTGGTTGACATGTCATCCTAGCTGCTCAGGAGGCTGAGATCTGAGGATCATGGTTCAAAACCAGCTTGGGCAGAGAAATCCCAAGAGATTCTTTTTTTTTTTTTTTTTTGTCCAGTCGTGGGGCCTGAACTCTGGGCCTGGGCGCTGTCCCTCAGCTCTTCAGCTCAAGGCTAGTGCTCTACCACTTGAGCCACAGTGCCATTTCCCGCTTTTTTTCTTTTTGTTTATGTGGTGCTGAGGAATTGAACCCAGGGCCTCAGGCATGCAAGGCAAGCACTCTACCACTGAGTCACTTTCCCAGCCCCCCCAAGAGATTCTTAATTCCAATTAGTCACCAAAAAGCCAGAAGTATGAGGTCCTGAGTACTGGTACACACACACACACCCCATACTGTCTAGCTCATGCTGAGCTTTCCAGGTCTCTATACTTTGTTGGCTTCACAGACATCCTACTGAACGTCTCCTGAAACCTCCATCCTCTGCTCCCAGTGCTTCTTCCTATGACCCTTCTGCAGTACATGTTCAGCTTCTGGCTCAGGCCCTGTCCACTCTGTGGGAGGGGTCGACTTCAAACTCCCTTAAAAGCAAAGCACCAACCCCGTATGCTCTGCCCAAGCACACATCATTAATGTGCATACACACCTTCCCACGGAAGGCTCTGGGATACCCTGATGCTACAGCTCACGGGGAAACCCTCTAATAACCACACAGGTCATCTCAGAGTCGATCAACCTCCCTCCATAGCACCCTCCCCGCTGGACGCCCGCACCAGGTTCCACTGCTGTGCACGGGCGCCCTCTGGCGGCTCCCCTGCATGAGGACACCACAAAGACCCAGGGAGGCTCTTTATTCAGGGGATAGTGTTGTACTCATGTCCAGCCCAGGATTGTGGATCAGTGGGAGGACCAGTGAGCTCCAAGGCTAGAAGCAGAACTGGAAGGCCTCAGACACGTGCTGCTTCCACGCGTCCAGGCTGGGCAGCAGGGAGGAGAGGCCCATGGCATGCCACGTCTCCCCACTGGACGCCACCGAGGTCTGGTAAGAGAGCAGCTGCACGCCCGCCTGTGCCAGGAGGCCTGAAAGAAGAAATGTGTGTGTGGGGGTGAGGAGGGGCGCCTGGGGAAGGAGCGACAGAGCAGACGCTGAAACGGGGGGGGGGTAGTGGTGTGTGTTAAGAGAGACGGAAGGCATGATGGGGTGTCTGTCCAGCTCCCATCTGCTGTGGCCTCTTCAGGCACAGCCTGGCCATCAGGCTTAGAGCGGGACCCCGGCGGGCTCACTGCCAGGATCGGCAGCCAGGGAGAAAAGCAGGGGTGAATGAGGTCCCCGAAGGCTGGGGCCAAACCTGGCTCCAAAAGTTCTGGCCGCCGAGGTGCACAGGAGACTTGGACAGAACTGGCCTGTGTGTGTGTGATCAGAAGAGCTTTGAAGAGGCAGGGCAGACATACTGAGGCCCTGAGCCCTTGGCACATGGTGTGATGGACTAGCCTGGGACCTCTCCCCTCCCAACTCAGTGTTCACCCCAGGGGTTCTGGACACTGGTATGGCCCAGCCTCTTGGCGGTCCAGATCTACACAGTCCTGAGATGTGACGAGGATAGGGGAAGCCAGGCCTGACACAAGAGCAAGACCCCACCCGGCCAGCTCCCCGCTCTCCTCACCGATCATGGTGGGCAGCATGGCAGGGTTGGAGGGCTGCGCCCGGAACAGGAGCAGGGGCAGGCCCTGGCGGAGAGGCACATCAGGCCTGAAGACAGCTCCGTTGAGTGCCTGGAGCACAGGCGTGGTGCCCTGGACAGCGCCCACAGCCTGGTAGGGGGCCCCAGCCAGCGCCACGGTCAGAAGGCATTCCCCGTCGCTCTGTGTGTCGGCCACCGAGGGCGCGTGGGACGTGGTCACCTGGAAGGGCGGAGCTGGTTATCTTGGCTCCTCCATCTTCCCCCCCAGCCCAGAGCAGCTAACCACACACAGGGCCCGAGGCTGGCTGGAGACTCAACGAGCCAGTGGCTCATGCCTGCCATCCTTGCCACTCAGGAGGCTGAGATCTGAGACTCGCAGTTCAAATCCAGCCTGGGCAGGAAAGTCCGTAGACTCCTCTCCAGTTCTCCGGCCGAAAACTGGAAGCGGAGGTGCGGCTCAGGTGGCAAAGTGCCAGCCTTGAACACAAAAACAGTAAGGGAGAGCGCAAAGCCTTCGGTTCAAGGCCCAGTATTGGCACAATCAAACAAAACCCCAAACTGCAACTGGGTGTGAGGGTACAAGCAGCACTGTATGGAGCCGGAGGCTGAGTCCAATGGGCCCCTCCAAACTTCTATTCCAACGCAGCCTGGCTGCTTCTCCTCAGCTGTGAACTGTGGTGCCAAAACCTGTGTGTGTGTGTGTGTGTGTGTGTGTATGCATGCGTGCGCGCATGCGTGCACTCAGCTCAGCCCAAGGTGGGTGGCACCTCCATTTTGCAGTTGGCCCACGGTTACCTGTCACAGGTAGGCAGGATGGGCGGGGCTGTGGGAAGGCTCTGGAAATGGGGGGCCAGTGCCGTGGGGAAGGGTTGGGGCGCCGGGGGGGGGGATGGTACGCACGTTGAGGCCAGCCTCTTTGACCAGCAGCTTGGCATTCACCAAGTTCACATCCGCCTGCTTAGACTCGTCTTTCAGAAGGCCGACCATGACAGCAGGGCTCAGGCAGCTGCCAGCGTTCTTTAGAGCTGCTCCTGGGGATGCAGAGAACGGGCCTGAGCTCACTGAGCACTGAGAAGAGGGGCCGGGAGCTCTGGCCTCCTCCATCCTCAGGGCGATCTGGCCCCCTCTATCCCCCTGACATGCACAGGCTCAGCTGGAGGAATCCTGAGTCTGAGCAGGACGCTCAGGACACTGGAGCCAGTAAACCACCAGAAAACTGAATGGGAGGTATGGCAGTGGCCAAACACCAGCGTTAAACCAAACAGCTCAGTGAAATTGGGAGATGGGAGTTCAAGCTCTAGTCCTGGCATAATAAGTCATAGAATTAAAAATCATTATGCATTAAACATCAGCATGAAAGTGACGTTTCCCCATCCTATCCTTTGCCCTCTGCCCAAATCCGCATGTGAGCTACATTCAGAGCAAGGCTCAAGTCACCTGACTCTCTCTAGCTCTGTGACCCACAGAAGGGAGGGATCCGTGGCCTTCTCCCATTCCCCCAGCAGTGCTGGGTGGCCACCCAAACCCAGCCTTACCCTGTGTCACCACCTGGATGGTACCCTTGGGAGACCCGGCCCAGGCACGCAGCAGTGTTCCCAGGGCTTCTGCCAGGCCAATCCAGGGCTTGGTGTGTGGGGAGAAGGCGCTGGTAAGCGCCTGCGCATTCACCTGGGGAAAATGACAGGGGCAGGGTGAGGCCAGGAAGAGAGAGCCCCACTCCGCAGCCTCATAGCATCAGGGTCTGGTCGCCAAGAGCCAGCTCTGTGTGGAAGAGGCCTGGGACCTCTGAGCTCGGGGCAATGTCAACTTCCATCAGCCAACAGGAAGAGGCTGGCTTATTTCTGCAGCTCAGCGGGAGCCAGGCATCCGTCCCGTTCAGGAGTCTCATTTATGTATAGTTTCTGTGCCTGTGTGTGTATATAGATCGATCGATTGAT